TCAATGACGTAGATTCATCGGAAATTGATTAATTGATAAGTATGTGGCAAAGTTAGGTCATTGCCCTCTCTTCATCGTACTTGATGACTAGAAGAGTGCAGTGTTACTTGTTCGTGACTTTGCGGCCATAGTTAGGTATTTTGCTTGAGATTTCTTGTATGTACATGTAAGTTGATGCTGATTTTCTTAATAGAAAACTTGTAAAACTGTTAATAAACTGCATTGGGTTGTTATGTATTCTACATAGCGAAAGAAGTGACATTAGTTGGACCCCTAGCGGCTTGTTCTGGAACTGCAGGTAAATAGCTCTTTTGCTCAGGACGAAGTGACATTATTTGGACCCCCTAGCGGCTTGCCTTTACTGCACTAGCCGTCAGGTACAGACAGTCTCGCTGTAAGGCCCTTAGCTTGTCTCCGGGTAGGTCGCGCACATCCGGCCCGATTTAGCCCGGCATGTCTAAATGTAGTCAACTCGCAGCCAGGCCGATAGACCAGATAACGTCGGACCAGCTTCGGTTTGCACGCGCACACACTTCAACAAACTACTGACCATTACACTGCCGTACACTTGTAGTACATGTACACTAATTTATAAACGCAAGATAGGCACTGTTACTCTTTGTGATGCATATAGAAATCCATAGAATTATAAATGTAAACCGTAAATAAGCATTATTGAAGATACCTAGAGAAGAATAAAGCAACATGCTTAAAGTTGTCTTCTTAATTAACGATATTTATAAAGTCAGCTCTTAATTAACTTACAATTAGTGTTTCTAACGTATCGTGTGTCTGTTTGAAGTTTGTTTATTTTGATCCGGGTTAGCGGCTCATCTTCGCTGCACCATCTTAATTATCGGTAGACGGAAATATTTAAGGAAGAACCCAAACATGGATCCCAGTACTAGATCGCGGCCACATAACCTGTGCGTTTATTTCCTTTGATCTTATTACTCGTAGGGTTTTCATTTTCTTTTTTTTTGACGATTTTATTCTTCAAAGCCCTTAAGTCATATACATATCATACATGAACATACAATGTAACTGAAGATCAGACATAAGTTTGACACAAGTTCAGAAAAATTAGGAATACATCATCTTTCCTTTACTTTTCCTTTACTTTTACTCGTAGGGTTTTCAGCGATAAAAATTCACGACAACAGAATATTGTAAGATATATTCACAACTGTCCCAAGACACGTGTCGTACGTCTTCCTGTCGTACGGCGATTGTGCAAATGAGTGTCACTATGTACCTTTACGGACAAACGTAAAGGTAGCTTACAAGTAATATTTTAAATATTACTTAAAGCGTGCCAAAACGGAACCTTTAAGCATACTTCAAGGGTGCTCGGAGGGCAGACTTTATGCAGCGACCGGTTCCTCGTAATTTCCAAGCAGATTCCTTTCGGTGGCAAGACAGTATCCATTAGCCAGAGAGGGTCGGCAGCCACCGACGGTGGGGGTACCGACAAAAAAGGGGGAATATATAAAAAGCTACCGATCATTCCCCCACAACCTCTGCATGGAGAGTAGGTTCATCGGTAGTGACAAAACAAACATCATATCTCCCCCCAGTTGGACATGGTCAACCCTGGTGCACGAAAGGACAGTCGGTCACAGGCCTGCGTGTCGTGTCGGCCAAGCGCCTATGGGGGTCGTGTAAATACTAGCAATTGGCTAAGACATAATTCTACCAAAACGTTAAGAGGGTGAGTAAATAGTAGCAATTGGCTATGACATAATTCAAGGGAAACAGAAAGCCGAGAAGTGTGGAGAGAACTGGTGTTCAGATCTTCTGCGGTGCCCCAACGGTCGGATAATTAGACTAAGGGATAGACGATGAGATATTTCTACAGCGGCCTAGGAGAGGCCAGTCGGTTATATATATTAGTAACTAACTCCATGTGCAGATAAAAGTTTTAAAAAAATTAAAGTCCTCCACGCAACCATTAGTATAGTCGCATATGGCGGCGCCCATCGCCGTTTCTGTAGCCCTTGGGCCACACATCACTGCAATCACTACAGCAGGGGTCTAGTCCACTGGTAGTGGTGTGTGTTTAACTCCCACGCTCTTTCTCAAATGCTGAGTGCTAAGCAGAGAAACCAGTATGTTTTTAAGTCTTTGGTATGGATCAAACTCACTGCCTACCGAATGCAAGTCGCACACTCTACCCACTTAGCCATTGCACCGGTTACTCACCGTAATTTGCCCAATTTCTACTGTCTATCCCACCGTAATTATAGGAGTCTAGTGGATACAATACTCATCCATCATCCAGTTAAATTGTGGTTGAAGATGACTAAACGGTGGATCAGGGAATAATTTCCGGAATGGGCGACAGACAGGACTCACACCTGGTCAGAAACCAACCTCTGTCTGCCACTATTTAGTCATCTAACCAAAGTACAGACTGGTTTTAATATTCCACTGTCTCGAGAAAAGTCGTCAAAACCAACAAGCTATAATTTAGTGTCGAAAATTAGACTAGATTAGTCATATGCTATACTGCTATCCATTTTCAGTCCCTCTATTTTCGTGTTACATGCACTTGCACTTAGCCTCCGGACAAGACCTTGCAAGAAAACTTTTTAATTTTGATAATATCACAAAGTAGCGGGAAATGCTGCTTGGATGCCCCCAAAATCAAAGTAAGTTTCTTTGACTGACTAGGAATGTCAACATGAACATCTCACAGACAAACCTAAGCAGCGTTGCCTGTGGCGGTCGTCCACAATAACGGCACAAATGTACTTTTCCTTGCCATTTGGCGCCCGTATAATGTATATAACTCAGGCACTTTACACAGCTTTACTGCCACTTGGCTGAACAGGCGTCCTATCTCGTCCTGCCATCAGGTCCTTGGCGTCGGCCCTGTCCCGCGGCTACGGCCCTTTCCGAACCGAGCACGCTAATCTTCCGGTCCCCGCGCCGACTATCGGCCCGCCGTGGCTATCCTTAGACTTAGGCCACACCAATTTAACTTGTTGGTTCACGGATTCGCCAGCTTCATTTTTTTTTCTGATTTACAAAAAAAAAAGCCTCAAAAATGCTCATATTCTGGCCCCAACAATTAAAGGAAGCCCATTCTCTTCAGAGTCGTTACAGTTTTTCCATCTATCAATGCAGTTTGCAGTTTGAAATTCACTGCTTGAATTACAAACCAGCCTGGTATGTTGACCTCATGGCTTCTATCATAGCATTTGGGGCTATCATAAGATGTCTAGATCTGTTTTTATTTTTTTTTCGCCCTGTCGCTTCATGTTTGTTTTTTTTTTTTCTGAAAAAATCCGAGAACCAACAAGTCAAATTGGTGTGGCCTTAGACTCATGTTACAGCCTCGGGACTTGAGTGGGATGATCGGCCCATCCGGAGTGACGCGTCGCGGCCCTTATCTCTGATATATGGCCGTCTTTCTAGTCGGGTCGCTGCCCCCGTGTGCATCAGCGTGCCTGCCAACGGCTAGAGAACTACAACTCGTCTTAAACAGCCAGCTATTTACAGATTTAGGTTTTCTTTCCAGAGCTTATAAAACGCTCTCCAATGAGCTCTTCTGTCTACCCTGCTGTCTTTACTGGCGCTCAGCTCGGTTGATGGCTGAAGCATAAACTCTTTGAAAGGTATTATGGAAGGACTACGTCGTACCTAAAAATAGCGAGTAGGAGAGAGCTTCTTAAATAGGGGTTGCGGACTTGAGGCCAAGAAAAATGAATCGGCAAAAGAAGCTGGGGCTTTTCCTTTTATGCATTGGTTCTAGGGACGAACCTGGAACAACAGGGTGGGCATGGGAGCTTGCCATGTGGTAAAAAAGAGAGTTATATGATATTTTAAATCCTCGCCCACCCGCCTCCCGCTACTCTCCAAGCAGAGGTTCGGGTTTAACCCAAACCTCTGCTTGGAGAGTACCACCCGCCGAAGACACGTACTTTCCTAGCTTCAAAGTTTGTCTCAGTTCAAATGCATCACTCACTGCATGCAACAATTCAAAGAGAAAGTTCAGGAACGATTCTGGTAGAGGAAAACGAAGCTGAAAACAACAGCTATGACCTTGATCTCCACAACACGTCAACTTTAAACTGTTGACACAAACGCGGAAGTAGGGAGCCTGGCCAGCAGGTATCATCAGGAGGGCGGGCCCACGGTGTAAGGGTTGTGTCAATGTTAACAGTTATGTTTGTGTCTCACGGTCAGGAGTAAGGGCGGTCTCAAGTGATGTAAGAGCGAACAAGGAAAACAACAGTCTGTGGCGCCTTTCCAGATCTGGAACCGTTGATAGAAGAATACAATAAGAGCGGATCGCCCACCAGATGTTGGAATCAATTGTAATCCCATTTATAACAAAACATCAACAATGTTTTTTTATTTATTTTTTTTATTTAATTCGATTGCGACGATACAATACCCTGGCCACCCAGGCAGCATAGCTGATTTCGGGCGCCAAACAATACAAAGATTAAACATACACAATAACATACTAATACAGTAAACTAACAAGTAAAGATTAAGCTAAAATCAATCAGTTATCAATATAAAATACAACCAAGCATAATAAAGTACTCAATCAAGATAATAATAGCAATTAATGTTTTGGAGGTCAGAGGTCAAGGCCAATTGGATATAATACAGTATGTGAGGAAATATATACATGTATAACGTAAGATTGTAAAAGGTTAACTTATGTGGTACCACGGGAAGGGCCATCTAAACGTTTTGTGGTGGAAATAATTATGTTTTTTTATGCCTGAAAACGTTTCCTTGTTTAATCCAAAGCTTCAAACACAGAAGCATTTCCACATGGAACAATCTACCATTAGATGTACAACATTCACGAACAAAAGACAGTTTTCCGTGTAATGTTGTCGCTTTTATATGATTGTTATGTGTTTTATAGAATCCAGGAAGTTTAGTTGCTTTTGCAATTAATGGATATTCCAATAAAGTAGCAAGTATCTAAGAACCTTCCTGGTGATGCTCTCTAACATGCCGTCTCTCCCCTGCAGAAATACCTGCAGAAGTTCGGCTACCTGTCGACAGGCACGTCCCAGGCCGGCGGGCTCCAGGCACAGGGAAACCTCAACAAGGCCATCCGGCAGTTCCAGCGATTCGCACACATCAACATTACAGGTAAGCCTGGGCAATCTTTGATTCGATTTATTCTCATCAGAACACTTCAGACACGCCAGCCTTAGGCCCGGTTTAACCCGTTCATTTGGAGTCAGGAAGCCGGGAGGCTCCCTTGTCAGTCGTCCCTGACTCATGTTCGCGCCAGCTCACCTGGAATGACCCCGCGTGACCCGTCCTTCCAGGTGAGTGGAGAAAGTGAAAGTGGTTTCCCCTGCCGTCAGACAGGTAATCGCCTTTACCTGACAATTAGTACCTGTCACACACCTGGCCACTCAGGTGGAACATACCTGCGTAATCATCCGTCATACAGACCCAGTCAGGTGAGAGATGTCGCTATTGTTGGCGGGTGCACGCACAGGTCATGCGGCAAGGGACGCATTCTGGGCTGGGTTAGAAATCCTGCGTAAGTCTGAGAAACCCTACGGATAACTTAATGCATACGTACTATTATACTCGTATTGCTAAGTTTCTATTTCTTTTCAAGATGAAGAATAAAACGTATCTCTTTAGACCCTAAGTAAAACCAATTCAAATCTCGTCCAGGTTTTACTTTGAAAATGAATCCGTGTAAAATTATATAGACATCATCAAAGAACGTTCAATGCGAGTTGGGCTATAAGGATCGAAAACCATGGGTATCTTGTCTGTTGAAATGATGGCAATGTCACAAAACGCTTCCCTGTACCACTGTGCTTTAGTTGTATATAAAGGATGAAAAAGTATTCTTTTCTGGTCTATTAAAATGCTGACAATGTCACAAAGCGCTTCCTCAGCCTAGCCTGTCCCAATGAGACACAGTGGGAACATGTCATGTTAAGCGGGTGCACAGATGGGCATTCCCGTGAAGCTGACTCACGGACCCCGCTTGTCTGTCCCCTGAAGACCTGCGCGGCTGTTTCCGGTCCCTCGGCTGTATGGTCACATGGAAAGTTACGTCTGTACCGAGGCATGCGGTACAAACTGCATCTGCAGCACTTTTACACTAACCAAAGCCGTAAGTCTAAACCCATTAGGGTTGCCTCAGAAATACTCAGGCTGCGGACCACAACTCCCCGTTCACTTAAGTTCAGTTTTCAGTTAATGTTGTGTGCGTTATGTTATTTTTTTTTATTAAGACTCACACCTTTTGTTATGTTGGTTTTACTTTCATGTATATTTGTTTTGTTCTGTTTTGTACATTTGTTTCATTGTAATTTTGCGACTCCAGGAAGAATAGATTTCATGTAAATCTAATGGAGATCGAATAAACAAACAAACAAACAAACAAACAAACAAACAAACTGTTTCTTAGCTAAAACCTGCAAAGAGATACATGGGTCTGCTGAAGGCTGGGAGTGACAAGATGTCCTCGTTTGATGAAATAGACATCTTGCAATACGCGTACGAACGGGCTGTTATAAAAAAATACATTCACAATTTGACCTTATGTACATTCTGTATCTGTATCTGTATAGCCGGTATAACCGCCCTTCGGCGTAACATACCAGCTTCTGTATCTGTATAGCCGGTATAACCGCCCTTCGGCATAACACACCAGCTTCTGTATTTGTATAGCCGGTATAACCGCCCTTCGGCGTAACACACCAGCTTCTGTATCTGTATAGCCGGTATAACCGCCCTTCGGCGTAACATACCAGCTTCGCAGGCACGCGGCACGGTGGCAGCTAGCTATATCACACCGAACGACTTGTTACTCTCAATCTTTGCACATTTAATTGCAGGAGTCATGCATTCCCAACTGGATAGATTTTAAAAGTTACAGTTGCTTAGGTAGCTCTTCCTTTGGTATCTTCTGTAATACATGTAATACATAGATCATGGGAATTGCACATGTGAAGTTAGTACTGCTCCGCCCACCGGAGGAGTCTGTTACCATGATCTAACCATTATATGTTTAACCTTCCACATAAAGAAAGGCTGAGCTGTCAAATTGACCCACTGGTCTACCTGTGTGCTCTGCAACGTCAGCCATCGCCCATGTCCAAACGGTTGCCATGGTTACGTCTATGTACAGCAGCAGATTGCTGACATCACATTTCACACTTTGCCGTAATTATGTCATCCCGTGACCTGGTAACCGTGATAGAGGACCGGGCATGGGAACATGGGGACCGCTTCCGTTAGTTACATACTGTAGGGAGTTATGCCATGACTCATGTCAGAAACCAGTTTTAGGAAGCATCGGTCACGGTAGTTTTTGGAGAATCAGACACTTTCAATGTGTTCCGAAAGACTGGAACGAAACCAAAAATTCCCCCCATCTTCCTAAACGAAATAGCGCTCCTGGCGGCCTCCCGCCCCAAAGGTTGGGTCATTAACCTCCGGCCGAGAGCTTGTGTAAACACAGGCTAACCGTGTTATAATATGTAATATATCAGAATACAAATCCTTCCAATTCTAACCTCAGATTGTTTTCAAAACGTCTATCAGTGTCAACATGGCATTGACGGCAATGATGGTCGCTACTTTCCTCTTCTCTCCAAGCAGAGGTTGATGGGGGAAGATCGTTACCTTGTTTATATATGACCCGTTTTTTTGTCGCTGTCCCCACTTTGGGTTGCGCATGGACCCTCTCTGCCCAATGATTACTGCCTGGCCAAATTGATAGGTTTTCCCACCGTAGGATCTGCTTGGAGATTAACTTTCCCCGTCCCTCACCATTTACGTGATGTCGGTATGTTGGGTATGTGTCTGGGAGGTTCAGTTTCCGCGGATCCTGTCCCCGCGATCCTCCGTAACTCCGACGGGATCACGGAAGCGCCAAATATACCTCGCTAAGCCGCGCGGACTAGTCACCGTGCCAGACCATGCACCCGTGTCACTCAAACGGCGGTGGGGTCTGGCACACGGGGGATGAATGGATGAATGAAAAACCTTTATTGTCACAATATAGAAAAAGTGGGGTCATTCGGCTTCCACTGTCTCGGGAAAAGAAGTCCAACCAAGAACCTACTGTAGAACGTCCTTGGTCCAACCCAATAAGTCAGAATCTAGTGTTTAGTAGTTAGAGCAGTCACATATAAATTGTTATACATTGTCTAAACTTTCCTATTGTACATCTTTGCCCTTACAAACTAAGTACAGGTCAGGTATATGTACAGTAAGAGTGATGCAGGTCTGGTATCTTACTACATCTATAGCATACTAATATGTACAGGTTCAACATCTTGATTCTTAAAACAGTTGTAAGTGTAAGAACAGATGGAGTTTATAATAATATAATTAATACATGGTTTATCGAGTTGCATGAGAAATGGACTATGCAACATTACAATATTTCCCTCGTTGTTATGTAAGGTACATTCCGAAGTAAAATGACACTTGTTTTCTATCTTGTTTATGTTATAATATTGGCAGATTCTTGGCCTTTGGGTGTGTTACAATGTTAATGACATGTCACAGGATGTCCTTGCCACATGTCATATGCAGTAGAATAGATGATGCACCAAATATACACGCCGCGATATTGCCTTACAGCCAGGCATGCTACATGATTCCCCAGCACCACCAGGGTCACACGTATGGTTCATATTAGACATACAAGGCCGCATATTTTACTCAGGGCTCTTCCAGAAGATGTTCGATTGCCAGTGAAGTGGCACTGGACTGTACCGCTTGTTTCGGTTGAGTGGTCCTCTAATCTCCAAGCAAACCTTTCGGTGGCTTTGAAACTTTGAAACTTTATTCAGAATAACTATTACCCTTGAGCCCACCGTTAGTCTTCCTGGCATTCATTCACAAATATACATACAATACATAAGACAGTATCAGACATAGTCCATTTAGCAGACAGTATCCGTTTGCCAATTTGACACTGTCTTGCGTCCACCGAAAGATCTGCTTGGAGATTATTTATTGGCCCTGCACATATAGACGGCGGAAGGTGCCATTGACCCCCGTTGTCAAACTTATATGAATGGACTTTAATTTATTGCTCGGAAATCGTACATGGTACAATATGTGGCAGTATAACTGCAAAATACTTTTGATAACAGTACACGACAGTCATGTATGGGTGATTTGGTCAATTGATCCACCACACTTATACTAAAGCTGCCTCGTGACTCTCGTTGTCAAACTAGCTTCCGTTTTGACTGTTTGACAATCAATTGTTCCGCATGACATCCTTAAAATTCAGTACAGTGCTTCCAATTTCATGTTCAAGGCTTCCTTTCTTTATTAACAAAACCCTTAGTTTATACACCGTCCTGGAACCAGTAGTATTCGCGTCATTCACCACAAAGTTAGCATTCCTGTAGCATTCACCACAAGCATAACTGTACAGATTGTCCCGCTTGTCATGTAAAGATTAAGCTGTAGCTTGTGCTGTGTTGTTTTTGCCCCCTCTAGCACAGAACACCCTACACCACTCATTCACCAGTAGCATTCCTGTACAGATTGTACCGACTGTCATGTTCAGATTAAGCTCAGAACACGCTAGTTCATACACCACCCATTCACCACACAGTAGCATTCCTGTAGCAGCCCGTCCATCGCCTGGGAAGGCGATTACGGTCCGTTTTGGCGGGAGAACGTGGCTCGTTGCCAGGTAGCCTGAGCGGGTATAAGGTCGTCTGCGGGCTGAGGTATGGGGATAAAACGTGAAGCAGGCGTTACGGAGCGCCAGGGTGACCCGTACTTGTCAGGAACTGTACGTACATGTACAGAGCGTACATCGTACACTTGTCGTAGTACATCCCGGCTGTCCCTGGAAAGTCTGCCAAAGGAGGAGGAGAATAGATGGCTGTGAAAGTCGAATTCTTCGACCCCATCCCTACGCCAATTCATTCTTGGATTGATAGCCAAGAAGGTTATGTTTCGGTAGCTGTCGTGTGTGTGTGTGTGTGTGTGTGTGTGTTTATGTGTGTGTGCGTGCGTGCGTGTGTGTGCAGACACGATAACTGGAGGTTCACATGGTCTTCATCATAGGTGGATAGCCTAATGAGACCTCGGATGGATAGATTTTGCCCCCCCCCCCGTTGTAAGAAGTGTTATATGTT